CAGGCCGATCAACAGCAGCCGTGTCAGCCCCAACCTCCACACAGCGTGTCAGCGACTCCAACCAAGGCTCACCCAGGGCCCAGTCACCCAGCCCACCTGACCCTAATCAGACTGGCGCCAAGGCTCCCAGTGAGCCAGGTGACGTGGGTCCCAAGAACAGCAAGCCGGGTCAGAAGACACAGGCCGTAGAGCTGGCTGGCAGCAGCTTGGTGCCTGATCTGATGCCTGCCTGTCACTCTGATTCCTCTCTGGAGTATGTGTCCGAGTCCACCACAGAGATCACCTGTAAGTGGCCGGGTTATAACCACCAGCTGCGCTGCCCAAGACACTGCTGGCTCTTACAGCACTTGGCATACTAGGGCCGTGTCTGCACACCTGCCACGGGAGCCACACGAAACACTAGACCGCCAGAGCACCACATCAGTCACGTCAGACACCAGTCCATGAGAGCCGCAGAGAACAACTGCCCACCCACGGAACAACGCCCAACGCCCACCATGGCACCACATGAAACACCTGCCCGCTGGGACCCCACACGTAAAACCTGCCCATGTGGTACATCTACCACAGGAGCCCCACAAGCACCATCTGGGAGTCCCGTGTGTAACATCTATCCTCTGAGGCATAATAAAATCACCCGCTCAGGCCCACGAATGTGTCAGCTCAGCTGCTGGGAGGGCTGTCAGGAATTAACGTCAACCATGTGGTCAGAACCAAGGAAACTGAGTCAGAGGAGGCAAAGTCACCTACCTGAGTCCTGCCAAAGGGGCCAAGGCGTGCGGAAATTCAGGCAGAAAACCCACATCCTCCCTCCCTGAGATAGCATTTTGGTGTGTAGCCCAGGCTGGCCAGAAGCATATTCTCCTGCCTCAGCCACCCAACTTCTGAGGTCAGGCTACATGCCACTCTGCATGGGAAAAGATAGTGTTAGTGTGCACTCCAGATAGACCAGGCAGCTATGGGCCAGGTCTGGCTGGGACTGGAGTTTATTGAGATCGCCCCAACCAGGGTGGCCGGTCCTCTCCATGTCATTGTTCATAAGACCAGAAAGGTTTCCTGGGGTTTTCTTTTTTTTTTTTTAAAGATTTATTTATTTATTACATATACAGTGTTCTGCCTACATACCAGAAGAGGACACCAGATTGAATTGTAAATGGAAATTGTATATGGTTGTGATCCACCATGTGGTTGCTGGGAATTGAACTCAGGACCCCTGGAGGAGCAGTCAGTGCTCTTAGCCTCTGAGCCGTCTCTCCAGCCCCATTTCCCGGGGTTCTCTAAGATTCTTAATTTTAAATCTGTCTGTGTTGGTCTGTGCGTGGCTGCCTGCGATGGCCAGAGGAACCGGTTGCGGGTGTGAGTCAGCAGCATGCATGCTGGGAACTGAACTTGGGTCCTCTGTGACAGCATCATGCCTGGTTCTTTGGACAGTTTCTTGAGGCTTCCCTCCTCTGTTTTCCTCTTCCTCCCTCCCTCCCTCCCTCCCTGTCTCAGTCTGGACAACACAGCCATGTACAGATCAGTGACACCACACACACAGATCAGTGACACCACACACACAGATCAGTGACACCACACACAGATGAGTCACACCACAGAGATCAGTCACACCACACACAGATGAGTCACACCACACACAGATGAGTCACACCACACAGATCAGTCATACCACACACAGATCAGTGACACCACACACAGATGAGTCACACCACACACACAGATGAGTCACACCACACACAGATGAGTCACACCACACAGATCAGTCACACCACACACAGATGAGTCACACCACACACAGATGAGTCACACCACACACAGATCAGTCATACCACACACAGATGAGTCACACCACACACAGATGAGTCACACCACACACAGATGAGTCACACCACACACAGATGAGTCACACCACACACAGATGAGTCACACCACACACAGATGAGTCACACCACACAGATCAGTGACACCACACACAGATGAGTCACACCACACACAGATGAGTCACACCACCACCACCCCTGTCATAGACTTGTGGCCAAGTTCATTCTCTCCCCAGAAGTAAGAGGTGGAAAATTCAAATCCCATGGGTTTGGGTGGAGAGGAAGCCAGTATCAAGCAGGTGACCCCACGGGAGAGGACAGCTCTTGACACACCTGACACCTGGGCTGTACACATGGGATCAGTACACCCACCAAGACAGTCGGTGACTGGATTTTACTTTTTATGGCTCAGGGACAGAATCCAGGGATTCCTGAATACTGTACCAATGCTCCACTCCTGGCCACGCCCCAGCCTCTCTGAGAAATCCAGGTCGGGGGCTCCACCCTGACCAAGCCCCCGCACCCACACTATCCACCCCTAGCCCTTCAATTGGAATATCCAGTAGAAACAGCAGTAGCATCAGCTATAAGCTTGAATGTATTTGCTCCCAGGGTTGTCATTAGGGGTGACTTTGTCCCTCACAGCCTTGTGTAACCCAGTCTCTCCCTCCCAAGGATCTGCTGGGCACGTGTGGCCTCTAGGCATCCAACACAATTTCCAGAAAACAGAACAGCTTAGAGCAGTCAACAGTCAAACCCCTGCCTTGGTGCATTCAAATAGAGAAGGGGAAGTAAGGACCTTGGGATTTGGGGCTCCATGCATTCATTAGTTCAAGTACATCCTCTCTATGGAGGGAGTTTGAAAAGGGCTAGCCTGGGCTACATAAGACCTTTTCAGTAGTATTTGGACTGGGTATGGTATCACAGGTCTTTAATTTTTGTTTTTCGAGACAGGGTTTCTCTGTGGCTTTGAAGGCTGTCCTGGAACTCACTTTGTAGACCAGGCTGGCCTCGAACTCACAGAGATCCACCTGCCTCTGCCTCCCAAGTGCTGGGATTAAAGGCATGTGCCACCAAGTCCAAACTAATCTTGTTTACATATTAAGAGCTAAAAAGCTGGGCGGTGGTGGCACACACCTTTTATTCCCAGCACTGGGGAGGCAGAGGCAGGTGGATCTCTGTGAGTTTCAGGCCAGCATGGTCTACAGAGGGAGTTCCAGCAGAGGCTCCAAAGCCACAGAGAAACCCTGTCTCCAAAAACAAAAACAAACGGAAAACCCCACCTCTAGAGAATTACTACAAATAAATTTGAGCAAATCATTGCAGAAGTGAGGCCATGAAGACTTTGCCAGGGACAACGGGAGCTGCTGTCCAAAGGTCCTGGGGCAGAGGGCAGCCTGGGCAAAGTCCTGGGTCAGGATGGAACCTAGCATGTTAGGGGAGCCATGAGCAAAAGCCCTTGTCCCTGGGGCAGAGGGGTGATAGCTCCCGAGAAGAGAAGGGCAGCCTGAGGGCAGAGCAGCCTGCAGTTACTGGGAGATCATGGGGAGGACTTTGGCTTTTGCTCTGGAAAGATCCAGGGCAGTCATTGTCCTCCCCAAGTCCCAGGTAACGGTCCCCATGGGCACTACAGACAGGCCGCAGCAGCTGGTTTGAAAATGTGATCTGACCAGTTTGGTCTGGGATGAGGCGTGGGGAGGGTGGGGAGAGGCAGGTGGGAATTCAGCTTGCCTGGAGTTGGGGACGGGTGGGGCACTGCAAAGGGGAACTGGCAAAAGCCCCTCCCCTTTAAGGTGGGTCCCACACACCCAGGTCAGCCAATGGAGAGGCAGTGAAAGGGAGGGGCCTCCTATCCAGGCTAGAGGCTCACATTTGTTCCTCACCTTGGCCTGTTAAACCACAGAAGAGCCATGTATGGGTTAGGATAGCATTGGGGGCACCAGGATAGCCTGGGCTACGTGAAACCTTACTGATTCTCCATCTTGTTTTATGAGTCAAGGGGTCTCACTGAACCAGGAAGTTATGGATTTGGCTTGTCTGGCCTTCAGTCCCAGGATCCTTTGTCCAGCTTTTTACACAGCTCCTGGGGATTTGAACTCGGGTCCCCATGCTTGGGAACCAATCACTTTACCCAATCAGCCATAGCCTTGGGCCAACTCTGTCTACTTTTTATTTTGAGATAGGGTCTCCTTAAGTTTCCCAGGCAGCCTCCCCTCCCTGCTAGGATCACAGCCTGGACCAGAGAGGCCTTTTCCTATGTTTTTTTTTTTTTTTTTTTTTGGTTTTTACGAGACAGGGTTTCTCTGTATTGTTTTCGAGGCTGTCGGTCCAGCCTGGCCTCGAACTCACAGAGATCCGCCTGCCTCTGCCTCCTGAGTGCTGGGATTAAAGGCCTGCGCCACCACCGCCCGGCTTCCTACGGTTTTAATTTCCATTTACTAATGACTCTGTGTTGTAAAACATCCCCCCTCTATTGGTTACCACAAAGAGTCGAATTTGAAATGAACAGCATTTGTGGGTGTGGCGACCTGTCTGTCATTGGAATAGGCAGGCTGGGCAACGCTGCTGCAGTGTCCCGGGGAACATCCTACGACCAGCCACCTATGCTACTTCTGGGTTATTCGCTCTGTGATGCGCGCTGGGCTCAGCACCGGGACCCGGCCAGAGACGACCCTGTCCTGGTCTCCAGTGTCACCTTAGGCAGCCATTATAGGTGGGTGTGAGGTCTCCCTGCTGAAGTTTGCCCCTGCCAACCACCTCCCAGCCTGGCAATGCATGGATCAGCCACCGGGGGGCGCTAGGACACCACAAATTCGAGATTCTTGGTGCTGTCAGCACCCGGCCCCACGCCATGAAAAACTACCACATAAAGAAAGCCCCATTAAGCAAAGTGACCCCTGCTTATCCCATAACAGCTTCCTGGGTCTCCCACACACAGTCAGCGCTCAGTAAGTATTCATGGGGAACTAAGAGCCCACAGGCAGAGCTGGGGGTTCTGAAGACTGAGCACTGCTCGGCCCCGGAGCGTGCAGCTGCCGTCAGAGGCCAGCGGGGCTCTTGTGGAGACGCAGGGACAAGGCTGACTGGCCTCTGGATCCCAGACCCAGATGCCACTGTGGACAGGCTCTAGCCACTCAGGTGTTCTTTAGGACAGACACCCATTCTCTTCAGAAGCTGAACTGAATTCATTAAAATTTAAATAGTTTAAAAAGGGATGGACCAAAGTCGTTTGGTGGAAAGGCAGCCAGGATCTTGAAGTTCCTTAAAGTTCTCAGATACAGCACACGTCTTTAGTCCCAGCACTCGAGAGACAGAGGCGGGCAGATCTCTGTGACGTCAAGGTCAGCCTGGTCTATGCAGCAAGTTCCAGGCCAGCCAAGGTTACATACACAGTGAGACCCTGTCTCAAAATATCCTGGCAGGAGATCTTCCTGAGTCACACAGCAGAACAAGAGCCGGGGGAGGCTCCAACCTCTGGGGGTTTAGACTGAACAGCGCCGAGCAGCCAGACGAACTCGGCTGTCCTCTGCAGGACTCCAGAGCCGAGCATAACCAGCGTGGGGCAGCAGTAGCCGGTCCTGTGTGCCATCACGGCTGACCAGTCTCCTGGCGGCCAACAGGTACTCTCGGTGGGGGGCCAGTGATGGGCAGGGACAGTGGCCTGGTGCCCACACATACTCTCGAGTGCGCAGCGGTGAGCGGTGTTTGTAGATGAGCAGGACCCGCACCTCATAGCGAGTCTCCTGGCCCTGGCGGTGGCGGCCCAGCACGCGGGCCTGGAACACTGCACAAAGGGAGCAGGGGGTCAGGAGGTCCTCAGGCCGTCGAGTCCGTTGATGTCAACGGAGACGGTCGGAGCAACTATCCAGGAGGCGATAGGGACCATTGGGCTTAGTGGAAGGGACCAAAGGCCAGGGGTCTCACCAAAGTCGCTGCCGCAGTAGTGCAGAAGCCGGTGTGCGCGACCCCGGCTGTCAGGGCATGGCCCACAGGAGTCTACGGGGTGGGGTGTGGTGAGTGACACCGGCCTTGCCACCTGCCTGACTCCCCCCCCCATCCCCACCCCCGGCCCAGACGTTCCTTCCTCACCTGGTACCAGGGATGCAACCCGGGCAGCGATGCCCTCGGGGACCACAGGGGTCTCTGCGGGCTGAGACTCCACCTCCCGAGGCTGAGGTTGTCGCAGGGGCCAGCCCAGGGCCTGCGCCTGCGCCTGGAAGGGGCCATAGCGCTCCCGGGGCAGCCAGAACTCGAAGTGCACGCCTGGGTTGGGCTCCCGCAGCAGCACCTGGAGCCGGAGGGCACTCGAGCTGCTGACCCAGCCTCCCCCCTCCGGCCCCTGCCTCCCCTCTAACTGACCCCGGCGTCCCGCCTGCGTTCCCGGCTCCCGCCTCAAGCTGTCCACTCCCGCCCACCTGCAACAACAGCTCCTGGGAGGTGGGCCCGGTCGCCTGCAGAGTCTCTTCGGGGCCCGCGCCCCGGGTGTAGACCACGCGGGTACCCGCCGCCTCGTAGGTACCAGGCGGACTGAGCACCCCGTCGCCGTTGAGCACGTAGCGGCCGTCGCGGGCCACCAGCGCTGCAAGGAACCAGTCAGCCTGCGCTCACGGGAACCGCCTGCCCCCCACACCCAGCCTCAGTTTCCCCCAGATGCCCCGCGGTACCCAGGTGGTTACGGCTGTGCTGGGCCACGCGAATGTGCCTGGCGCCCTCGGGGATCAGAGTCACGTTCCAGTAGCCGGCGAAGGCACCTGGGGCAGGCGGAAGGTTGGGGTGTAGCGCGGCAGGATTTTCTGGGACGCGCCGGTGTGCGCATGGGTGCGCAGTAGCGGGATGCGCTGGGACGCACTGGGTGCTCTGGGGTACGCTGGGCAGGGGTGCACGGGGGGGGGGATGTTCCGGGGCTCGCAGTGGCGAGAGAGTGCACAGGGAAGGATAGGAGAGGCGGGGAGGGGTGGGCTGCTCCGCCAGGGGCAGCGGGCCTCGGCGTGTCCAATCAGCCAGAGTCTCGGCTCCCGGGAGCCCGCCTTGTTAAAGGGACACCCTCTCCACGCCACTCCTCAAGCGCATGCAGAGGCGGGGCGGGGCAGTCACCGGCGTCGCGGAACACGCGCTGCACGAATAGGCACGAGTCGTTGGCGCCACCGCACAGGCCGCAGCGGTCCTCGAGGGCGCCGGAGCCCAGCAGCCCGTCGCAGCCGGCACTCTGCGGGAGACACTGGGTCAGGACGGGCGGGGCCCCGGGCAAAGAGGCGGGGCTGGAGACAGAGCCCCGGGGAGACCTAGCGAGGGCTAAGCAAGGAGGGCAGGGTCCGGTGGGCGGGGCCAGGATGGTGGGCGGGGACTGAACAGTAGGGCGGGGCCTGAAGGGAGGCAGGAAAGGCTGTGGGAGGAGCCATGAGCGTGTGAATACAGGGTGGGTGGAACCTAGAGCCAAATGGGCGGGGCCTCGAAGGCGTCGGAAAGAGGGGCTTCGGGCCCGGACCTGGATGATGGGCAGGCTGTTTAGGGGCGGGGACTTGTGTAATTGGCTGGAGGCAGCCTGGGGCGGGGTCTGCAGGGAAATGAGCGTGGTGGGGCGGGGCCAATGGGGCCTCACCAGACAGCGGCCGGCTACGCAGAGGCCCTGGGCCCCCGGGGCGCAGGGGGTGCCGTCCAGCGCGCGGCCGAAGCTGTGGTAGAAGGCGTGGCCCTCAGCCAGGCAGTTGAGGTCACACAGGTTGGGTGCTGAGGGCGGGAGGGCCGTGTGAGCCCGGGGCCTCCATCCCGCGCCAGTCCCTAAGCCAGCTCGTCGTAGCTCCCCCAGGCTAAACCCCTCACCTGCAGCGTCCCTCCTCCCGCCTCCACCGCCCTCTCCAGGCCGTGCACTTTTCGTTCTTTTGGGACAGGGTCCTGTACTACGACTCGCTCTGTAGCCCAGGCTGGCCCGGAACTCACAGAGATCCGCCCGCCTCTGCCTCCCAGTGCTGGGGTTAAAGGCGTGCGGCCATACATTTTCCTACACCCCAAGCCTCCATTGCTCCGTTCCTCCTAGCCCTGCCCCTCCCGGGCCACACCTCCATCCCCTTCCCATCCAGGCATTAGAAAACTGCCCCGGAGCTTGGCTGTACAACAGGCCTGCAGGGTACCTCAGTTTCCCTCCCTGTCAGATGAGACCCGCAGGCTGGCTGGCAGCAGTCCCTGCGGGGGGGGGGGCGGGCCGACCTAGTCCACGCTGTGGGGGTGGGATTGCAAGGAAGTCCCAGGAGTTGCTGCGGGGTTCTCCGTTTTAGGCTGCTCTTGTCTGTCTCCACCACGCCAGAGGCCGGAGCTGCCTGTCTCCCTTCAATCTGGAGGCGTGCTGCCCGGGGCACCCAGTTATATAAGCTGCTATTTTCAGCTCCGTGCGACAACATTTCCCGTTAGTGGGATCAGCTTGAAAACTGTTGGCCTCTGGATAAAACTCTAAGTCAATCCTCAGCCTGCAGTTTGACCCTGGGCAAGAGGGACCACTTTCTTCCTTCACCAGCTCCTACAGATGCTTCAAAACCCCATTCCAACGACTGCCCCTCGGGCTATTTCTTAACTCCTTTCAAAGTTCTTCTCTTTTTAACCCCAGGAGGTCAGTTTACTCACCCCCATGGAAGGGCACCCATTGATAGGTCTTCTGGGTGCCCAGGACAGGGTGGCCATTGTAGAGAGCACACTGTAAGTCTCGGAAGGGTATTGTCCCTGGGGGGCAGTCCTGGGAGAGGACACAGATGGGTCGATAAAGGCCAAGCGGCTGTCTTTGGGGTGGGCCTGAAAGGGCAAGAGGAGGGCCCTAGGCCTTACCGGCTGCTGGCACACGCGGTATTCGCGGCTGCCCCCCCAGCAAGGCTCCTCCCCGGGAAGTCTGCAAGAAACAGGGAGCTTGGAGCGGAGCAGGGCTCCCCTGCCTCAGGGACCCCTTCCCATCACCCGCCGGGCCACCCTCCGCCCCCACCGGCCCCACCCGCATTCCAGCTGGCTCCCGGGATTAAAGGGCACCCTGCGTGTGTGGGCAAGCAGAGGGCGCGGCCCGGCCCGCGGCGGAGGGAGGGGCTCCCGGCTTACTGGACGCAACGGCGGCTGCGCACCGAGACGCCCCGGCCGCAGGAGCTGGAACATCGGCTCCAAGACCCCCAGGGCGTCCATTCCCCCGGACCCTACTTGAGGGCAGAGAGGAGAGTCAGCCCGGGGGAGAGTGGGGTCCCCCGCCGCACCCACGCTACTACGTGCTTCCTGGGATCCTTCACCCCCTTACCTGAGCAGTGCCCCCCAAAGGACAGCTCAGGAGGGTCCACTGCAAGAGCAGAAGGTCCCGGAAGAGGCGGGGTCTGAGGGAGCACAGGAGTCCCAAGGGGCAGTGACCAGCAGGACCAGGGTGGATTGCCATCTCAGCCCTGGCTGGCTGGGTGATCTCCGATGGCGACTAAACCTCTCTGTGCCCTCTTGTCTCTAAAAAGAAATAAAGTAACGGCAACCCCGCCCCTTCCGGGAAGCCTTGTGCGGGAGTTATTGGCTCAGGTCAGGCACTCAGTGGGGGTTAGTATCTGTTGTTACTTATTTAAAAGTTAATTTTATAGCCAGGCGGTGGTGGTCCATATCTTTCATCCCAGCACTCGGGAGGCAGAGGCCAGCCTGGGCTACAGAGTGAGTTCCAGGTCAGGGCTACACAGGAAAACCCTGTCTCAAAAAACAGAACAGAGAATTTATTTCTACTTAGAGTGCAGCGCCTGAGGTTGCAGAATCGTCAACCCCACCTCGAGCTGAGCCGGGCTACTGTTGTGAGCAGTCTAACGCGGTGCTGGGAACCGAACATGGGTTCTCTTAAAGGGTGAGATGAGATACTGAACCCTGATCATCTCTCCAGCATCTTGTTCGTTTATTTGAGATGTGTAGCCCAGGCTGATCTGGAACTTTCTATGTAGACCAGGCTGGCCTCCAACTCACTGAAATCCACCTCCTTCAGCCTCCCAGGTGCTGGGATAAAGGCGTGCACCACCATGCCTGGGTTACTTATTTATTTTTAATTTTTTGTTGTTGTTGTTTTTTTGAGACACAGTCTTGTAGCTCAAACTGGCCTTAAATTGCCTGGGTAGCCGGGCATTGGTGGCGCACGCCTTTAATCCCAGCACTTGGGAGGCAGAGGCAGGTGGATATCTATGAGTTCGAGGCCAGCCTGGTCTACAGAGCCGATTCCAGGACAGCCTCCAAAACAATACAGAGAAACCCCGTCTCGAAAAACCAAAAAAAAAAAAAATTGCCTGGGCAGCTGAGGATGGATGACCTTGGACTCATTTCCTTCCTCCCCTTCTAGCTCTGGGACTATAGACACTAAGTGCTTGCCCTAGGACCTGGCTTCTCCTCCCCCTCCCCCTCTTCCTCCTTTGAGACAGTCTTGCTCTGGTAACTCAGGTTAGGCCCAGATTCTGGAAAATCCTCCTGCCTCAGCACTTCCTGGGTCATGACTAACAGGCCTTGGCTGCCACACACTCAGCTTAATCTACTATCATTGGTCATGTTCCTTTCTAATGCACACAGTAGGTATCTAATGCCGACAACGGGATTCTAATGCACACAGTAGGTATCTAATGCCGACAACAGGAGGAACCCTTTAAGGACAAGTGTTTAGGTGCCTGCAAGTTTATCCACCCCTTCCATACGCCTTCCTGGGTGGCCAGGAACCAACCATTCCGTTCCTCGGGCCTCCGTGTCCTAGTGTGCGCAGTGTCCAGGAGTCTCCCAGGCCCTGTAGAGGGAACGGCCAGCACAGGTTCATTCAGAAACTCGAGATACAATGGGTGTCACCCTCCCAGCTGTGCCCCAGCCTCTGGGGGTCCCTCTGCTCCCAGACACCCCAAAGCCTGAGGGATCTCCATGTGGTGAGGCGGGCTAACCTGACCTGGCCCCTTCCAGCATGTGCGTCCTGGTTTCATCTGCCAGGGGTGTGGGCTGCGGTGCCCAGCGGGTCTGCAGAGATAGGGGCAGGGTAGGGTTGGGTAGAGGCCTCAGTTTCCCCATCTACATGGACAGGATGAAGTCATTCTCAGCCCACGCCCTCCTCGTGATCCGGGCCTGGCAGGACAAGCCAAGAGGGAAGGGAACCAAGGCCCCGTGAGTCCCTTCTGGGGCCGGGGCCAGACGCTCTGAAGGGCACACAGGATCTCAAAAGTCCCGCAGCCCGCAGGGCCCAGGTACCTGATAAAGGGGAAGGCCGGGTCTCCCCGGTTGTCAGCCACTCTGATGTTGTCATCCCACCCTTTAGAGCACTCGGGGACCGAGGTGGCTGTAGAAGTTGGAACCTCTAGGGAGTTGCTTCTCGCCGCCCACCGGGAGCCCTCCCTCTGAGGCCCCAGAGGCTGGGCTGGCCCGGGAAAGAAGAGAGAGGCGAGGGAACTTGGCAGTCCCACACCCCCTTCGTGGGGGGCCTCCTACCCACGCCTGTCAATGCCCTCTCCGGAGCAGTGCGCCCCTCTCCTGCACTGACGTAGGAAACACCGGGCAAGGCAGCCCTCAGGGCCTCAGTTCCACCCCGGAGGAAGTGCGACCTCCAAACTCACCACCATCCTAGAGAACGCTGCCTTCGCTCCAGGGAGGGAAAGGAGCCAATCACATTGTGGTCACGCCAGCCGGGCCAGTGGCAGGATGAGAAGAGGGACTTACCGCTGCTCAGAGCCCAAGGCAAGGCGTCCTGCTTCCCTGGGACGCCCCAGGGACTGGCGGAAGCGGCGGGGCCCCGAGGTGCGGGACTGGGAACTCAGTCGGTCCCTCCCACCCGGGCCTCCCAGGCGCGCCCAAGCTGGGGTCACCGAGGGCGCAGGCCCGGGGCGCCCTCGTGCGGCGGGAAGAGGGTGCACGCGTTGGGCATGGAGCTGAGGCAGGGGACTGACCGACTGCGCGGGCAGCGTCGTGGCCCAACGTTGGTGCTGGTATCCAGGGTGCCATTGACGTTGGGAAATCCAGCTGGGATGCCGCTGGGGGTGCTATTCCGCGCACCGCACTCAGGGCCAGGGAATGCGTATGGAACTGGGGCTTGGAGTGGGCTAGTGCGGACCAGGGCGCCTCCCACCCTGAGTACCTCGTCCTGGTCCGCGTCACCCCGCAACCAGACTCTCCACCACCAACCCCCGTCCCCATCACCCGCTCATCCCAGGCTCCTCGACCTGTCCCAGCTGTCCATCCCAGGGACCCCCAATTCGGTACCCATCGCCCCCAATTAGATTTCCCCACCCTAGTCCCCATCTCCCCTAATCAGTCCTCCCCACCCTGGTCCCCATCTCCCTTCTATAACCAGACTCCCCACCTGGGTCCCCAGCATCCCCTCACGAGGCCCCGCATGCCCGCTGGGGGCGGAGGGACCCTCCCTGCCACACATTCCCCAGCGCTGCCGTCACCGATGCTCCACCCAGGCCCGCCCTCCAGGCCCGCCGCCAGTGCAGCTTCCCTCGCCGGGTTCTGGCCTCAAGTCCTCCGCCTCAGTTTCCCCAACCCCGATACCCAGCCAGCTTCTTTTGGATCCTCCGAGGCTCCTACCATCTCCTTCTGGATGGCATCCCCTGGCAGCCGGGTTGAAATCAGTGACACTGCGGTAGTGGACCTTGCTGTTCCTGGGCGCTGAACTTGCCACCTCTAGAGAAGCCCACCTGGCTGTCCCCAGTCTGGCGCGCTTTCCCTGCAGGACGCAGTGTCTCCAACACTCAGTCCCTGAAAAGCAGACTGCCTGCAGTTCGCTGCAGGCAGGGCACAGATGCACATGCCTGCTTCAGGGCCCAGCAAGGGGCAGCCATTGGAAACATCGCAGAGTATAACCACTCCGTGTCATTTTGCAGGCCCTGTGTGCACACAGCTGTGGGCAAAGCAGCCAGTCCCAGCGGGGGGGGGCGGGGGCCACCCTGCGCCCTCACTCCAACCTGTGATGAACGTCGTCCCACTGGAGGACAGCTTTAAAGCCTAGCACGGAGTGTCAGAAGGGACCCCGCTGAACAGGGGCCAGGGAGAGAGGGTGGTTCTAGCCGGGGTCAGCACAAAGATAAAGGACAGTCCTGAAGTCCTGGTGTGGGAGGGAGGGGCCTCAACGACGCAAAGATGAGGACGGTGTGGGGGAAGGGAGCTCATACAGCAGATTCTGATTTGCAGGGGAAATGTGGCATAGGAACTATACTCTAGGGGGTGCATACAGCAGGCGCTGAAGAGGAGGTATACATCAGGCACCATGTCCTTCATGATACGTGTGTACAGGAAGCACTATGTTTTAAAGAATGTGCATACAGCAGGCACTGTGCCCGTCATGGCGCACATATACTATAGGCATTCTCTCTTGTGGGGGTGGTATACAGCAGGCTCTCTGCTCTCCAGCCCCTGCCTACAGTAGGCACTGTGCTCGGAAGAGTGTCACTGGCAGGGAAGGAGAAGCAGGTTCTGAGAAGCTGGAGTTCCTGGATCCAGCATGACCTGAAGCCGGATGCCTCAACTGTTTTTCTGCTTTGGCAACATTGGGTTCGGGTGGCTTGTGTGTGGCATGTGTGTGGAGCCCAGGGGTGGGCTGCAGGCATCTTCCTCAATTGCTGTCCCCCTGTGTCTCTCTCTCTCTCCCTCTCTCTCTCCCTCCCTCCCTCTCTCCCTCCCTCCCCCCCCCCTCTATCTCCCTGGAACTCACTGATTCACCTAGGCTGGCTGGTCAGGAAGCACCCTTCCATCTCCAACTCCCCATCTCTAGGGTTATAGCTGTGGATCCCATGCGTTGTTTTGAAACAGGGTTTTGAATAGCCTAGACTGGGCTTGAGCTCTTTCTGTAGTGCAGGATGACCTTGACCCCAAACTCCAAATCCTCATGACTCCATTCCTGAGTTTTGGGATGTCAGGTATGTGCTACTGCCATGCCCCCCCCCCAGTCTCTACACACTCAGCTCTTTCCCTGCCATTAGCAAAAAGACCCACACAGACAAAAACAGATCACTCCTGCAGAAACCTGGCCAGTTCCGATGTCCACACAGCACCCTGCTCAGCGAGTTGATCAATGTCCCCACTTGGAGGTCAATGCCATGTCCGGCAGGAGGAAGGATGTGCCGCAGGAGTCTCACCTGCCTGTCGGTGGCACCAAGGACACAGATCCCCTGAGGACACTGAGTCTCTCAGCAGGGACATGGACAACTCGGGGAGGCAGGGGATCAGGGACAGCTCAGGGACCAGGGACCGATGAGACCTGGAAGCTGCAGGTACAACCACTTGGGGACAAGGGGCAGGTGAAACTTCAGGGCCTGCCCCTCAATTCCCAGCACTCGGGAGGCAGAGGCAGGTGGATCTCTGTGAGTTGAGGCCAGCCTGGGCTACAGAGCGAGGTCCAGGACAGCCAGGACTACACGGGGAAACCCTGTCTCAAGAACAGAGAGAACAGCGATTGACGAGATAGCGCAGAGTTTGCTTCTGCCAAGTTCAGGCCCAATACCCGTGTTTGGCAGCTCTGGGGGAATCGGGGTAGGGGACTGCAAGCACACGCACGCACCCGTACCCAGATATACACAGAGTTAAAAATAAAATAAAAATTCAACAACTAGAAATGTAAAAACAGAGAAAAGGTCAGAGCAGACCCATTCAGCAATAGGGAATCATTCCCATTCAGCAATAGGGAATCATTCTCTTTTTTTCCTTCAAATTTTACTTTATTTTTCTTTTAATTTTTTTGGGGGGGTTTTCGAGACAGGGTTTCTCTGTGGCTTTGGAGGCTGTCCTGGAACTCGCTTGGTAGTCCAGGCTGGTCTCGAACTCACAGAGATCCGCCTGCCTCTGCCTCCCGAGTGCTGGAATTAAAGGCGTGCACCACCAACGCCCAGCTTTTCTTTTAATTTTTCCATCTTGTTTTTTATGTGCATCAGTGTTTTGCCTGCATGTGTGTCTCTGTGAGGCTGTTGGATCCTGCAGCTGGGTCAGACAGAGCTGCCACATGGGAATTGAACCCAGGTCCTCTGGAAGGGCAGTCAGTGCTCCTAGCCGAAAAGCTGTCTCTCCAGCTGGGGGACTTGTGGCCTGGATTCTCCAGCTGCAGCAGTGCTCAGAGAGCCTCACGCCTGTTTGTGGCTGTGTGATACTCCAGTGTGTGGGTGGGGCACAGTGTCCACATCCCTGTTGGATACTGAGTTGTCCTGGAAAGATTCGTGGTGATGGTGTTCTGTGGAGGTGTGTGCCTAGGCCCTGGGGTAGGATAGGCTGGGTATGGGCGTGAGAAGTTACAGAAAGCCTGGAGTAACCAAACTCTGGCTACCACAGCAAGGAGACCTTCATGAGCTCTCTGGTGGCTCTGGAGTGGACAGTTGACACCCTGGCTCGCTGGCCAGTGGGCATGGGCTCAGAGTTGGGCTGTGAAAGCCTCCCAGTTCTGAGTCCCCAGTTGGGTTCTAGCCTCAGTAGCCCTGAGGACAAGCAACTTCCACCTGGTTCAGCTATGGGCTCTGCCCTTGCTTCAGGCTCTGAATTTGAGAGGCTCAGAGAGGTGGATGGGGTCAGCCCATTCCCACTGCCCCTTCCTGGGCAGTCAGCACATTGGGTGTCCCTCTCACACAGGCTGGGTCACTTTGCCCAGAACCGGGGTGTTAGGAACGCTCAGGACAATCACTGCTCTCCTGCTTGGGACTCCAAGTCTCTGGGGACATTTTGTGAGTGGCTGAGGGCTCACGGGTGCAGCCACGTGGAGCCCAGATAGGGACGAGATGCTGTTTCTTGGTCATGTGGTTGGGAGGCCGGGGCCACCTGGAGGATCCACGCACAAACCCAAGAGTCTCCAGGGAGTCTCAGTAGCGGGCAGCGGCCGCCCCCCTTCACCTGCAGCAGGCATTTTGAGCAACGCTTTCTAAAACCTCTCCAGAGCAATCTGCTGAGTCCGAAGGGTTATCTCAGTTCAGCAAAAGCACAGAGACAGAAGTAAGCAGAGCCGGGCCTGGGTGCAGTGCGTTCAGTCTGAGGTGCTTGCCTAAGACCGTGGGCCGCGGGGCTCAGTGGCGACGTCTGGCATAAGCTGGCCAGTTTTTCCCAGGTGTCACAGTGTATGCCTGTCATCTAGAACCCAGGAGGCTGAAGCAGGAGTTCAAGGCTAGCCTGAGCTACATGGGCGTCTCTGTCTTCTTACTGCATGGCTCGTTCACATGCAACTGTCCCTACCATCCATCTCCAGAACTTTCCATTTCCCTGTGCTGAAGCTCTGTTGCCAAGCAACACGAACTCTCCAGCACCCACAAGCACACTTACTGTCTCTGGATCGGCCTGTTGTCTCTTGCCATTTCCTGTCCTGGAGCTCCACACTGTGTGACCTTTTTTATCTGGGCCTCTCACTGAGAACCATGTCCCTATGGACCCTCCAGGCTGTGGGTTCCAGAACCTCACCCCTCTTCGGAGCTGTATGATATTCCAGTGCGGGAATATCTGTCATGCATCCCTGGGCACTGGCTGTCTCTTCCTTCTGACTGCTGTACGTTTTTTTTGGTTTTTTTTGCTGGTGAGTTTTTGTTTTTTTTTCAGACAGGGTTTCTCTGAGTATCCAAGGGTGTCCTGGAATTCACTCTGTAGCCCAGGCTGGCCTTGAACTCACAGAAATTTGCCTGCCTCTGCCTCCCGAGTGCTGGGATTAAAGGTGTACACCACCACCTGGCTCCTTTGAGTTTTTGAGACAGGGTCTCAGCTAGCACAGGTTGCCTCTTGAACTCACTCTGTTACCAAAGCTAGCCCGAACTCAATCCTGAGGCCCTGAACAGCTGGCATCACAGCCTTCTAGCCTTGTAAGCTGCACTAAGCACACGCTGTGCCAGTCACATCTTCGAAGCCCACTGCACAGTGTCCTGGGGTATATTTTACTTAGACGTTTTCACCACCCCCAAAGGAGACCCCAAACCCATCCTATGCCCCCTCCATCTCCTAATGTTGCCAGGGGTCTCTCAGGAGAGCCAAGAGTGGCTTGGACCAGGCCAGAGTGGGCAGGGGCTCCGGGGAGTAGGGTGTCCCTCCCTCCTCAGCGGGGCGCAGGCTGACGGGAGGCCACCCAGCTCCCAGGTGCAAGCTCAACCACAGACACCCCAGGAGCAGTCAGGAGAGAGAGGGAGAGGGACAGACAGAGACAGAGAGAGAGACAGAGGGAGGGAGAGAGAGAGGGAGAGAGAGGAAGAGGGAGGGACTGAGGGAGGGAGAGGGAGAGATAGAGAGACAGAGAGAGAAAGAGAGAGGGAGAGAGACAGAGACAGAGACAGAGAGGGGGAGAGAGAGGGAGAGAGAGAGAGAGAAGGAGAGAGAGAGAGACAGAGATATCAGCTGATGCACACACTGTAGGGCTCTGGGCCAGGAACTCCGTTTCTTCTGCTCCAGGACGTTTCTGTATTCTGGGGACTCAGCCACCCACCCAAATGCCTGTGTCTGCTCCCTGGGGCTGGAAATCAGGGGACCAAAATATGGCTGCCAGATATTCAGGGCCCACCCCCCTTAAAGCCCTGCGGGGAGACCCTGAGCTTGCACGAGTCTCCTTGCCTGCCACCTGGGGTTTGAGTGGCCCTAACTTAGGGAGCGGATCCCAGAAAAAAACCTTGGCATCTCGGCTTGCAGCCCACAGAGCCTTTGCCATTGTTACCGCTGGGTGTGAGTGAGGACACGGGTGTGGCCCAGCACGCGTGTGGGCGTGGCACAGGACACCTTGTGGGAGTCAGTTCTTGCTTTTCACTGTGCATCCTTGGGATCAAGCTCCTGTTGGCAGGCTCCCCAGACAAGTGTTTGCACCTGCAGAGGCCTCGAAGACCCCCCAAACATTTCCTCCATGGAGCTTCTCCTTTATTTTATTTTATTTTTTTTGGTTTTTCGAGGCAGGTTTTCTCTGTGGCTTTGGAGGCTGTCCTGGAACTCGCTGTGTAGACCAGGCTGCCCTCGAACTCACAGAGATCCGCCTGCCTCTGCCTCCTGGGTGCTGGGACTAAAGGCTGCGCCACTACCGCCCGGCCTCCTTGTAGCTTCTTAAACACACGCACAGGGACTGGGCTGGGGCTCTCTGGGAGCACACAGGAAGTACTCAGCCAACTCAAAGATGCTTAGCAAACACAGTAGGCGGTCAGCCCACAGTGATCCAACACAGAGAGGGGTGTGTGACAGAGCAGGCTCCACCCCTGTCCACCGCCACCCGCATCAGCTTCCAGTTATCAGGGGTCCTGGGCTCGCTGGCTGCAGCTGTCTGGTCCCTGAGCAACCGGGGACCCTAACCCCAGTAGCCAAGGAGACACCAGCAAGGAACTTGCAACAGCCTTATTCCACAAGATACCGGGGGCTCGCCCCTGAACTCACCCAGGGGGACACTAACCCGTGAGCACTCAAGGGGTGCTTCTTGTCCCCCCTCAGTGGCATGGGCCAGGCTAGATTCCAAATTCTGGCTCTGGAAAATTCCATAGCCTGAATCCAACCGCCCGGAGTCAGGCTAATCCCTCCCCGTTTATTGTGTTATGTAACATTCGGGGATTAATACTAGAGGCAGATGGCGGGGCTCACACCCTGCCCTGTGCCTGCCTGGCTTGGTGAGTGAGGGGACTCCCACCTGGCACACGGAGGCGGGGCCAGGGGCCCAGATCCCTGCGGCGCAGAAATGACCTCACGCAGCAGCACGTGGGTGGGGTGGGGGTGGGAGGCGAAGGGTGGGCTCGGGTGAGAGGTAGCCTGAGGTCCTCTAAAGTCCCCCGGCATCTCTTCTTCCCGTCCCAGCGGCCGCCTACGTCTTAAGGGCTAGTTCTCATTTGGCCACCAGAGCCAGCCCAGCGTCTCACTCATGCTCGCCATCTGCCCCTCATCCTGGTTGCCCTGTCGCCCGTAGCCTTCCAGCCCTGCTTCTCTGGTCCCTAGGTCGTCAAACCTCCCTCGGCTGCCCTCCCTCTAAACCCTGCTGCGGCTTCCCAGTGCCCAAGTTGATGAAGCCCCACAGGTCGCTCCGGTAGGGAGGACCCAGCCGGATGCACTTGGTCTCCGATGAACCCCAGACTCCGGGGCCGGCCTCTCTGCGAAGGAACTGGCGAGTCCACTGGGCTCCGGTTTCCCCGGTGGGCGAACCCGACCCTGTCAACAGGTCCCAGGAGGCGCAGGGGCCGGAGGGCGGTAGGACTGAGCCTGACTCCGGGTTGGGGCCAGAGCTCCCGCCACTCCACCCGGGCTCTGGCAGGGTCCCACGGGCGTCCGGGCCCCGCCCCGCCCCGCCCCCACTCTCCAATAAGACCCGCATCTACTGTCGGCGGGGCCCAGAGCGGCGACGCCACGGGTGGCACCGGGCGGCACCGGGCTACGCAGTCCCCGCTGCCGCTGCGCGCCCGGGCCCACCCCGCGCAGATGGAGTCCCGGTCACAGCGGCGGCGGCGGAGTCGCCAGCTGGTGGCCGCCTTTCTGCACGACCCGGGCTCGGGGCGCGTGTACCGGCGCGGGAAGCTGATCGGCAAGGTGGGGGATCCCGCGCGCGCTCACACACACGCGAGTCAGCACGCGGGAAGGGGAGCCGGGGGTCTTGGGCAGGGCGGCAATGCGCGCACGAAGCCTGGCGCTCCCGCCCGGTGTCCTGGGCTTGGGCTCCGGGCTGCGGGGTGGATGGAGAGGCGGGAACCGCGCTTGGTGCGCTGTCTGCCGGTTGCGCGGGGCGTGCGCGGGGCGTGTGTCGCCCGCATTAGCCCGGCACCGAGCGTCCTCTGGGTGCAGTGACGGCGCTGCCCGCGCCCTCATCCAGCTCCTACCTGGCTGCGTCTGGGGACTGCCCCCTTGGACTCCGTGAGTCTGGGGGTCTGTCGAGCCATGTGTCCAGAGGTTGTGTATCAGGGTGTGCCTGGGTGCTGTGTTCTGTGTCTGAGGGCCTTCGAGTGTGAAATGTTGGGTCATGTTTCTGGATGGTGCGCGTAAGCTGTGTGTGCAGATATTTTGTATGGGTGTGTGTCTGTGTGTGGAAGTGCTGTGTGTCTCTGTGTGTGTATGTGTGTGCCAAGTGTGGGTGCTGTGTGTGTGTTTGTGTGTGGGTTCTGTGTGTGTCTGTGTGTGTGTTTGTGTGTGGGTTCTGTATCTGTGTGTGTGTGTCTGTGTCTGTGTGTGGAAGTACTGTGGGGGGTGTTTGGCTGGGGTGTGTGTAGGCGTTTTGTATATGGGTGCTGTGTGCGGATGTTGTGTGTGTGTGTGCCAAGCGGGGGTGCTGTTTGTAGGTGTGTGCGGAAGTGCTTGGAGGGGGTGTGTCTGGGTGCTGTGTGTGTGGTTGCTGTGTGCGGGTGCTGTGTTTCTGGGTATCACGAGCTCCTGCTTTGGCAAGGGCCATGGGTCCCATCTCTATAGTGGGTGACTGGTGTCAGGTGTGACAGCTGCGGTGTCTTGGCTGAGGGGGTCGCAGACCTGCCCCTGGGCGTGGCCCTCTGTGCACACCCTGCCTCCTGCCCTCCGCAGGGCGCCTTCAGCCGCTGCTACAAGCTCACGGACATGTCCACCAGCGCGGTGTTCGCCCTCAAGGTGGTGCCGAGGGGCGGGGCGGGGCGGCTGCGCCTGCGCGGGAAGGTGAGCCACCCCGCCCGCCTGCCCCTGGGCTACCCTGGGACCCGCTGCCTGCACAGCAGCTGAGGGGCTCTCGTGGGGACACAGGTGGAGCGTGAAATCGCCCTGCACAGCCGCCTGCGCCACCGCAACATCGTGGCCTTCCACGGGCACTTCGCGGACCGCGACCACGTGTACATGGTGCTGGAGTACTGCAGCCGCCAGGTGGCGGGGCCGCGGGGCGGGGCGGGGCCACTCGGGGGCGGGCCTGGTGTAGGGCGGGGCCACTCGGAGGGCGGGTCTCGGCGCGGGGCCACTCGGCGGGCGGGTCTCGGCGCGGGGCGGGGCCACTCGGAGGGCGGGCCGCGGGGCGGGGCCACTCGGAGGGCGGGTCTCGGCGCGGGGCGGGGCCACTCGGAGGGCGGGCCGCGGGGCGGGCCTGGTGTAGGGCGGGGCCACTCGGCGGGCGAGCTTAGGCGCGGGTTCTGTCGCTTGAGGGGTGACTGCCGTGAGCCTTGGGTCAGAGCCAGGCAGCCCCTTCTCTGTCCCGCCTGTCTGTGTGCTCGCACCCTCCGGTGTCCCTGCTCCCACACACGACCTCCTGCACCCACTTGGGCACACACGTCCTCAGCCTTGCTCTCCCTGGCAGCGTGGGGTCCCCGTGCGCAACGTGAACCCAGAGCGCACAGCCATCTAACGCGTGCCAGGTCCCCCTGCAGTCCCTGGCCCACGTGCTGAAAGCGCGCCGCACCCTCACGGAGCCTGAGGTGCGCTACTACCTTCGGGGTGTGGTCAGCGGCCTGCGCTACCTGCACCAACATCGCATCGTGCACAGGGACCTGAAGCCCAGTAAGCATGGGGAAGGGTCGCGGGGGGGGGGGTCGGGGGCTGCACGGGTCCTCATGCCACGCCCCTCCTCACCTGCAGGCAACTTCTTCCTTAGCCAGGACATGGAGGTGAAGATCGGAGACCTGGGACTGGCGGCCCGGGTGGGGCCTGCCGGTCACTGCCACAGGTGAGGAGTTGGTGCGGTCCCGAGTGGGGCCGGGGAGTCCTGGCCGTTCCGAACCTCCCACGATCCCCCTCCCAGGGTGCTCTGCGGGACTCCGAGTTTCCAGGCTCCTGAGGTGGTGTCCCGGCATGGACACTCGTGCAAGTCTGATATCTGGGCTCTGGGCTGCATCATGTAAGGCGACCTGGGGTTAGGGAAGGTGGCAGGAGGGGGGGGGCGTGGAGAGAACCAGAATGCACGGATTGGCTAGGTGTATAAAGAAGGTGTGGGTCCCTGAAAAACACCCAGGGCGTGAACGCTTTCTGAAGTCCCAGGCAATTCCTGGCCCATTCTTGCCCTGCCCAACCTGGGCCCAGGTACACGGTGCTGACCGGCACGCCACCCTTTACTGCGACACCCTTGTCAGAGATGTACCAAAATATCCGTGATGGCCACTACCCGGAGCCCACTCACCTGTCACCCAGTGCCCGAAACCTCATTTCGCGGCTCCTGGCACCCGACCCTGCCGAGCGGCCCAGCCTCGACCACTTACTCGAAGACGATTTCTTTACTCAGGTGAGGGGGCGTCCCCCGGGGTGGGTCTCTGGGGACCCAGGGACCGTGCAGATCCAGGACTGACCCCGAGCTCACCGACTCCCAAGGGCTTCACTCCGGAGCGGCTGCCTCCGCATTCCTGCCACAGCCCGCCCGTTTTTGCCTTCCCGCCACCCCTGAGCCGACTGTTCCGAAAAGTGGGCCAGCTCCTGCTGACCCAGTGCCGGGCAAGTTGTGAGTAGCCGGCTCCTGGCTTCCCCGCCTCAGAGCTGCTGTGTCCTTCCGTGGCCATGACCAAGGCGAGCAGGGACGGGGAGCAATCGTCATCGCCCCCCGCCAAACCTGTGCTTCCCTCAGGTCCCTTTACCTCCAAGGAGGCTTCGGGCCCTGGAGAAGAAGGGACAGAGCCTGACCACGTGGAGCCCAGCAGCGAGGTGAGTAGTTGAGGGAGGGCTATGGAGAACTTTTGAGCCTCTCTGAAACCCAGACTGTAGTTCCCATCCATGCGCTCTAGATACCTCAGACCATGAACCCTGCCACCCCTGGAGCCATGCACCAGCCCCTCACTGGGGGGTTCTAGGCAGGGCTCCACCCCTGGCAACGCCCACAGCCCCTCACTGGGGGATTCTAGGCCAGTATGTCACAGCTCCTGTCCCACCTGTCCCTTACCCTAGCATCCTGAGACCAGGGGACCCTGTTCACACCATTTTTATTGTGCTACATTTACTGAGTGCTCTGTGTGACTGCGACTCACAGGTTTTCTCTGAGGAGGAAGCCTGTTCTTTGCATGAAGTGGGGTGGTGGGCTCTGGGGACCCCGTCTGGGGTAGGGGCTGCATTTTACCTCTGGTCTCTCCAAACACCCGTCTGTCTCAGGAAGGGGCTCCTCTCTGCGCTAAGAGCCGAGTCCACATCCTCACACTCGGGACCCGGCGGACCGAGCTGGCGGGTGAGCCGCAGAGCCTCACCCTAGGCTACAGAATCTGGGTGTCCTGATGAGGGTCACAGCCAGTAGAATGTACCAAATGCCTGGGACAATCAGGGTTTGTTATGACACTTTCAGGGATGAGGTTGGGGACCAGGCTGATGGGAGGGGACCCCCTCTTTGGTGTAAGTGCATGACTCTGTCTTAACAGACTCAAAGGGGAGCCTGGCACTCCAGGTGGAGCTGGCAACCAGGAAACTGCGCCTATGCTTGGACACAGGGACTGTGGGTAGGACAGCCACGGAAAAAGTGGGGCAGCCTAGGGGTCCCAGCCCAGGCCCAGCATCCTCACCCCAGCCCGGCCCCCACACAGTCACAGCCACTCCTCAGTACACCCCAGGAAAACCCACCCTGCCCCAGCCCACCCCTCCCTCCCCAGCCCAGCCCACCCTTCCCTCCCCAGCCCAGCCCAGCCCAGCCCACCCCTCCCCAGCCCAGCCCACCCCTCCCTCCCCAGCCCAGCCCAGCCCTCCCCAGCCCCTGACCCAGGCTCCTTTTTCTCCCTTTGCTCAGCTGCACAGGACCCCCAAGGGGAGCAGCGGCCTGTCCTCTGGGCTCCCAAGTGGGTGGATTATTCCCTCAAGTATGGTGTTGGCTACCAACTGTCGGATGGAGGCAGTGGCGTGCTGTTTCGGGACGGATCCCACATGGCCCTGCGCCCCCCAGGAGGGTAATCTGTGGGCCTCCTCCCTATCCCCAGGGATCCAGGCTCTACTCTGGCCTCTCTTGATAATGGCTGTCTGCCCGTAGAGAGCACAGTGACGCGATGATGGGGTTGGTTCTGTGCTCTTTTCCGCATGACGGAAATCAACGGAGGTGGGAGAGGGGACTTTTGACAACGTGGACACTGTTGTGTGACACTGGGGAAGCCATGTTCATGGAGGTCAGGCTGTGGCATGCACAGGGCCCAGGGTCCCCTCACCACCACCAGAGTGTGAACGAGTAGTGGAGCACATCTGTCATCCCCGCACCTGCATGTGGAGGCAGGAGGATCAGGAGTTCAAAGTCATCCTCAGCTACATAGCAAGTTCAAGGCCAGCCTGGGCTACTTGAGACAGGGAAACACAATGTCTCCACACACAAAGGAGCTGACATCAGACCGGGTCAGGCCGAGTCCTGGTCCTGGGTCACTGACCTGCGTCACCGTACCCACCCTCACCTGGGTGCTGGGATCCGAACTCAGCTTCTCTTGCGGGGTCCTCTGGGCCTATGACTCTCATTTCTGCTTTTCCTCTTCTCGTTGGGGATGGAACCCAGAACCTCCAGGGTTCTCTGCCACCGAGGCCGCCTCTGAGCCCCTGGCATTTTGCCACAGTGTTCTTGGCGTGAGAGAGGTGACTACATGGGGGGGGGGCAGGAGGGCAGCGGCCATTCCTAGGAAGACAGGAGAGGAGCCCGGATCTGACGTAGTAGGCGGTGAGGAGTCCATCTAGGTTCCCAGCGCCTTGACTGGCCAGGGCTATCCGTAGGCACAGTGGTGGTCGGGGGAGAAGGAGGAAGACCCCACCCCAGGCATGCGGTGTCCGGGACAGAGACTCATTCAGGTCCCTGGTCCCCAGCCATGTGTCCTATCAACCTGACCAAGGGACTCTGTGGACCTTCACCCTGAGGGACGTCCCCAGCCCACTGCGGGCCAAGCTGGCTGTCCTGCGTCTCTTTGCCTGCTATATGCAGAGGCGTGTGCGAGAGGTGAGGGCCAGGGCGTGCGGAGGGACAGGAGAGGTAGGTGCACCCCAAGGGACCCTGACGCAGCGTGTCCCCACAGGAGGGGACTGTGTCCATGCCTGTGACACCTGCCTCTCCTGACCTCTCTCTGTTGGGCGTCGTTGCTGACTCCCGGGCTCTACTCTTGCTGTTTAGCAATGGGACATTGCAGGTGAGCCACCAGAACGGCAGGGCTGTCACTGTGTGACCTCTGAAAATGTCGGAGGTCCAGGGGTCACATCCTGTGTCCTCCGCCCAAACTGACGATGCTCGGTCCCAACCAGACAGCAGGCCCCACTGCCCTAGGGAACCCTGGGTCGCTGGGCACAGTGGAGCCCGAGGGCAGGGACCCAGAGAGGAGCTTTCCTGGAGCTAGGATCTGGGATGGACCTGAGGTGGCCTGAAGTTACTGCTGAGGCTCCACCCGAAGCTGGAGCTGTGCTGGGCATACGGAAAAATAAATAATAGGGAAGACAGGAAATCTCTATGGTAAGGAGGCCCTGGAGTTCAAGGTCATCCTTGGCTACATAGCAACTTAGAAACCACCCTGAGCCACAGGAGACCACGTCAGAGGAAAACAAAGAACGAAACTGGCTAAAGGTTGGCTATATGGCTCAGTGCTCAAGTGAGCGCTCGCCTCCAAGCCTGATGACCTGAGTTCGATCCCCAGGTCCTCCTTATGTGGAAGGATGACTGTAGTAATCTGACCTCTGTGTGGGCCATGGCAAACCCTCGCACAAATACACACAAATTGTAAATTAGAATGTAGAGAGAAAACAGAGGAAAGGTGTGTGTGTTACCCTGCTGATGTGGTTGGGGCGGGGAGATCCCCAGCTGAGCCCATTTCTCTGTTGATGTCATGGAGCCGTCGGCCTCGAGTCTTAGCTCTTGCGGTGTAGTCCTCGGGCAGCTGTGCCCATCCCCAGGGTCAGCACTGAGGCCGTGAGGTCAGCCTTAATCACCTTGATCTGAGTGTCACTCTCTCCCAGGTCAGCTTCAGGACGTCCCAAACCCAGCTGGTGCTGAGTGGGGAAGGCGAGGGCTTTCTGCTCACCCTCTGGGAGCCAGGAGGACCCAGCACCGGCGTCTCCTACTCACTAGATGCTCTCCAGAGTCACGGTTGCACCCCCACCGTCCAGCAGCACCTGCGCCAAGGGCTGCGCCTGCTGCAGAGTGTCTAATGAGCCTGCGTGGACCTCTGCATGTGTTTCCACCGCCACTGCCCCACAGCGGCACCCGTGGAGGCTGGACACACTGGGGCCACCGATGGGGTGGAGTCTTTCTTTGGTTTTTGGTATGACTACTCAATCTAGAATTTTGTTGGTCCCTGTTGGAATTTCATTAAAGAAAACATGTCCCTGTAAGCTGGTGGCTGCCTCTCTTTGTTTTAGATTTACTTATATTTCATGTGCATGAGTGTTCTGCTTGCATGAGTGTCTGGGCACCACATAACTTGTCTATTTTCTGTGGAGGCCAGAAGAGGGTATCAGGACCCCACCCCATCCCTGGAACTGGAATTACACAGGGTTGTGAGCCACCATATGGGATTCTCTGCAAGAGCAGGGAATGTTCTCAGTCACTGAGCCATCTCTCCAGCTCTTTTTTGTTAATGAACCAGGGTGACCTGTAGCCCAGACTGGCCTGGAACTTGTTGCAAAATATTTGTTTAACTATGCAAAGATGCGTTGCTGTTTTACCTTGCCTGCCTAAGGCACTCAACTGGTCTAATAAAAAGTATAGGCCAATAGCGAAGAAGGGAGTATAGGCGTGATGATGGGGAAGTCCTTTTGTGTATATGTTGTCTTATTGGTTGATAAAGCACTTCTGGCCAATAGGGAAGCAAGATAGGTGGGACTAGGAGTCAAGGAGGATTCTGGGAAATGTAGTCAAGAGTAGGGAGTCACCATGTGATCCCGGGAAGAAAAGGCACATGAGGCTGTGTCCTCAGTAAGATAAGAACTTATAAAAATATATCTGGGTTAATAATTAAGTCAGAGATAGCCGTTAAGAAACCATGGCAAGGGCCAGGCGGTGGTGTCGCATGCCTTTAATCGCAGCACTTGGGAGGCAGAGGCAGACGGATCTCTGTGAGTTCGAGACTAAGCCTGGTCTACTGAGCGAGTTCCAGGACAGGCTCCAAAACAATACAGAGAAACCCTGTCTCGGAAAAAAACAAAACAAAACAAAAAAAAAAGAAACCATAGAAAATGGCCAACAGCTTCCTAATTAACATAGTGTCTCATGTGTTATTGGGGGCAGAGACAGCAGCAGGACCCAGGCAGCTGACTGGGAAAGAATGCTCATTACAAATGGACCTTGAGAGCTTGTTTGGAGGTTCTAGCAGGGGAGCACAGCTACTCGTATACCCTTTTCGACCAAGTGCACAGCTTCGGGAGGGATGCACATGGAGCGGTGAGGGAGGAAGGGGACACCTGCCTAGCCAGCCAGATCAGCCGAATCAACCCTGGCGATCAATGGGGTGACAGATGTTGCAGCCAGATCGCATAAATCTTAAAAAAAAAAAAGAATGCTCATTACAGCAGGACTTCTAGGCAAGGACAGCAGATAGGAGGAGGAATCAGGGCTGGAGAAAGAAAGAAAATACACCAGGGAGACACAAGGGGCAGACAGACAGACCGACACAGAGGAAGCAAGCAAGTGTAGCAGAGATTTTAACTGTCTCAGTAATAAAGACTTGGAGTCAGATATTAGGGGGGAAAGCTGAAAGATTGGAGAAGCAAAACAGTCAGCCAGTGTTACCTCTGCCTCAGACTGAAAGGGGCGACCCTGTCTCCATGGATGTTCAGACTGGTCGCCTCTCTCTCCTCTCCTCTCTCTGCACAGCCACACCCCCTCCTGTCTTCACCTCCCTAGTGCTGTGATTAAAGGCATGTCACTGCTTTGTGTGAGCTCTGTTTCTCTTTCAGACAGAGTCAATCTCCTGTAGCCCAGGCTGGCCTTGAACTCACAGAGATCCTCCTGCCTCTGTCTCCTGAGTGCTGGGATTAAAGGTGTGGCCACCACTGTCCAGTCTCTAAGGCTAGCTTTGCATACTGATCTTCAGACAAGCTTTTTTTGTTAGATCATAAACAAAATATCACCACAGGCAAAGTGTAGACCAAGAGAAACAGGTTACAGCCTAAACTGAGGACGAGCTTTCTTGATGAATTCATGTCCTTATCGGGAAACTGATTGGCAGCCCAAAGAAGATTCCGACCACAGGGACTCTTTTCGCATCTTGGGAGACGACCTTGAACTCCTGTTCCCCCTGTCTCCTGAGGGCTGAGAGGTGTTTTCAGATATAATTTTACTCTGCAGCCCGGCTGGCCTGGAACTTCAGCCTCCCCCAAGTACCATCTAGATCTTCACCTTGTAACAATTAGTGCTATTACAATTATTACAGATTATCACAGACGTGCACTTAAGTGAGATTATTACAGATCATCACAGACGTGCACTTAAGTGAGAGATTATTACAGATCATCACAGATGTGCACTTAAGTGAGAGATTATTACAGATCATCACAGACGTGCACTTAAGTGAGAGATTATTACAGATCATCACAGATGTGCACTTAAGTGAGATTATTACAGATCATCACAGACGTGCACTTAAGTGAGAGATTATTACAGATCATCACAGATGTGCACTTAAGTGAGAGATTATTACAGATCATCACAGATGTGCACTTAAGTGAGATTATTACAGATCATCACAGATGTGCACTTAAGTGAGATTATTACAGATCATCACAGATGTGCACTTAAGTGAGATTATTACAGATCATCACAGATGTGCACTTAAGTGAGATTATTACAGATCATCACAGATATGCACTTAAGTGAGAGTTATTACAGATCATCACAGATGTGCACTTAAGTGACAGTTATTTCAGATCATCACAGATGTGCACTTAAGTGCGAGATTATTACAGATCATCACAGATGTGCACTTAAGTGAGAGATTATTACAGATCATCACAGATGTGCACTTAAGTGCGAGATTATTTCAGATCATCACAGATGTGCACTTAAGTGACAGTTATTTCAGATCATCACAGATGTGCACTTAAGTGAGAGATTATTACAGATCTTCACAGACGTGCACTTAAGTGCGAGATTATTACAGATCATCACAGATGTGCACTTAAGTGAGATTATTACAGATCATCACAGATGTGCACTTAAGTGAGATTATTACAGATCATCACAGATGTGCACTTAAGTGAGAGATTATTACAGATCATCACAGATGTGCACTTAAGTGACAGTTATTTCAGATCATCACAGATGTGCACTTAAGTGAGAGATTATTACAGATCATCACAGATGTGCACTTAAGTGAGAGATTATTACAGATCTTCACAGATGTGCACTTAAGTGAGATTATTACAGATCATCACAGATGTGCACTTAAGTGAGATTATTACAGATCATCACAGACGTGCACTTAAGTGAGAGATTATTACAGATCATCACAGATGTGCACTTAAGTGAGATTATTACAGATCATCACAGATGTGCACTTAAGTGAGATTATTACAGATCATCACAGATGTGCACGTAAGTGAGATTATTACAGATCATCACAGACGTGCACTTAAGTGAGATTATTACAGATCATCACAGACGTGCACTTAAGTGAGAGATTATTACAGATCATCACAGACGTGCACTTAAGTGAGAGATTATTACAGATCATCACAGACGTGCACTTAAGTGAGATTATTACAGATCATCACAGACGTGCACTTAAGTGCGAGATTATTACAGATCATCACAGACGTGCACTTAAGTGCGAGATTATTACAGATCATCACAGATGTGCACTTAAGTGAGATTATTACAGATCATCACAGATGTGCACTTAAGTGCGAGATTATTACAGATCATCACAGACGTGCACTTAAGTGCGAGATTATTACAGATCATCACAGATGTGCACTTAAGTGAGATTATTACAGATCATCACAGATGTGCACTTAAGTGAGAGATTATTACAGATCATCACAGATGTGCACTTAAGTGCGAGATTATTACAGATCATCACAGACGTGCACTTAAATGAGAGTCCTCAGCAAAAGGACTGTGGAACATGGCATGGGGGACCTGGGCTGGGTTAGGGACATGGGTGACTATCACCAAAGGAGATGCTCAGAGTTGATGGGAAGGGGCCCTTTGTTCAGCATCTTCACGGCCCAGGGTGTTTCACGGAGAACCTGGTACAGTGTCCTCAATGCCTCAAGGAGCGGCATCAGACTCATCTCTAATGTGCTTTCTCATGGGACAAACACAGTGACCAAAACCAGCTTGGGGAGGGCAGTGTCTGTCTGGCTTATACTTCACGCCACAGTCCATCCTGAGGGACATCAGAGCAGGAACCTGGAGGCAGGCGCTGAGGCAGAGGCGTGTTCCTCCTGGCTGAGACTCAACTTAAACTTATTTATTTTTCGAAAGGACGGCTCACTGTGTAGCCCTGTCTGTCCTAGAATTTACCATGTAGACCAGTTAGATCCTCCGGCCTCTGCCTCCCAAGTGCTGGGGTGAAAGGGGCGCGCCACCGCACCAGAAGCTAATTTTCTTGTGCGCGGGACCACCAGCCCAGGGGTGACACCATACAATGTGGGCGGACGCTCCCAACAATTGCCCACAGGCCAATCTAAGGGAAGTATTTTCTCAGTTGAGTTCCCTCAGTTCTGACTGTGCCCAGTTGGTAAAAGACAGCAACAACGAAAACTACAACCTAATAGGACAGATTCAATGCCTGAGGCACGCAGCCTCTACCATGAAAACCTGGGGCTGGGAGACCACGCGGGAGAGCCGGTGGCCACACAACCACTGTCCCCGAGGCTGCCTGGCTAGTCACAGACACTCATGACTGTCTGGCACAGCTGCCACTGCCTGGGGGGACCCGCGTGGCGATGTGACAGGGAAGGGGCCACTGAGAGTGGGGGCTGGGGCTGGGTGTCGGTTAGACACAGCAAAAGGCTGCGGGCGGGCTGGTGGGCGGGGCTGGGGGCAGGCTGATGGGCGGGGCTGGGGCTGAGGGCGGGCTGATGGGCGGGGCTGGGGGGCTGAGGGCAGGCTGATGGGCGGGGCTGGGGCTGAGGGCGGGCTGATGGGCGGGGCTGGGGCTGAGGGCGGGCTGATGGGCGGGGCTGGGGGCTGAGGGCGGGCTGATGGGCGGGGCTGGGGGCTGAGGGCAGGCTGATGGGCGGGGCTGGGGCTGATGGCGGGCTGATGGGCGGGGCTGAGGGCGGGCTGATGGGCGGGGCTGGGGCTGAGGGCGGGCTGGCGGGCGGGGCTGGGGCTGGCTGGTGGGTGGGGCTGAGGGAGAGGTGAAGGGATTACGGCGGGATTGAAG